AAAAAAAAGACTGAACCAAACTGGGTGGGTGGGACTGGTGGGGGTCTGGACGCCGCCAATGTGTAGAAAGAAGGCGCCACAAAATGTTCTTAAAATCCAGAACTCTGGATTAAGGGGAGGGGGCTGAGATGAGCACCCCCGTCCCCGTCCCCAGAGCTCCGTCCGTGGGACTTAAGTGCCTGGCCAGGGGAGGGGGTATCCCCGGAGGAAGATGATCCCCCCCCTACCCCTAAAGACCCTTCCCCAGGGAAAGAGGCAGGGGGGCAAGGAATCGGTCTGTAGAAATCTCCCTGCGCTTGGGGGGGGTGGAGAGAGGAGAAGGGGGCTTCAGAAAGACCCTTCCCCAAGTCCTTTTGTGGCAACTAAAGACCCCCCTCTTTTTTGCCACCCACCCGCCCCCTTCATGCTCTTAACAGTCTCCCAGCCCCCCCTCCCCTCCCCGTTAGCTTGTCTCGTCTCTGTGCAAAAGAAAATAAAAGGAGGCGAACAGCCCCCCCCCCAAGAGGCAGCCCCCTCCCCCCAAAAAAGTTCTTTCCCCGAAGGGAGTCCTCCGTCTGGCCGTAAAAGTTGACCCGCTCCTCGCTTGGACGTGCCGTTTCCAGGAGTTTCCGTGCCGTCGTCGGGCCCCACACCCCCACGGAAGGAGAGGGAGGCGTTTTGGCAAAAGCTTCGGCATCCCGTGTGTCCCCCCCCCCTCCACCGCAGAGGGCAAGGGGAGGGGGGCTTTCTCACTCCACGCGAATCAGCAGGCCGAAGAGGACGGTAGCACCTTTCTCCTTGGTGACCCACTCGATCTCGGCGCTGCTGAAGCGGGGGTCCACGGGCTCGGAGGCCGCCTGCGTCGGGGGGCAAATCTTGTAGGAGCCGGGACGGACGCAGACCTGCAACGCCACCTGGGCCGAGTGCTGCCGGTGAGACTTTGGGTCTTTGAATCTGGGGAGTGGGGGGGAAACAAACAAACATGCGGCTGGGCTTACTTACACGCCGAGATCGATGGGCTGAGGGTGGTACAATGGACTCCGGTCAAATTCAAATTTAGAAGGAGCGAAAGAAGGAAGGAAGGCCGGAGGGCAGGGGGGATAAAAATGAATCATTTTTAAGACATTTTTTAAAAATAATAATGGATTTTTTAAATTTTAAATCGGATTTTTAAATTTTAAATTGGACTTTTTAAAATGTAAATTTGATTTTTTAAAATGTAAATCGAATTTTTTAAAATATAAATTGGATTTTTAAAAATGTAAATTGTATTTTTTAAAATGTAAATCGTATTTTTTAAATTGGATTTTTAAATTTTAAATCGTATTTTTTAACATTTAAATTGTATTTTTTAAAATGTACATTGGATTTTTTAAAATGTAGATTGGATTTTTTAAAATGTACATTGGATTTTTAAAAATGTAAATTGGATTTTTTAACATTTAAATCAGATTTTTAAAAATGTAAATTGGATTTCTTAACATTTAAATTGGATTTAAAAATTTTAAATCCGATTTTTTAAAAATGTAAATCCGATTTTTAAAAATGTAAATTGGATTTTTAAAAATGTAAATTGGACTTTTTAACATTTAAATTGGATTTTTTAAAATGTAAATCGGACTTTTTTAATATTTAAATCAGATTTTTTAAAATGTAAACCGGACTTTTTAAAATGTAAATCGGACTTTTTAACATTTAAATCGGATTTATTAAAATGTAAATTGGATTTTTAAAAATGTAAATTGGATTTTTTAAAATTTAAATCATTTAAAAAAAATGTTTATCAAATTTATTTTTAAAATGTTTATCAAATTTATTTTTAATCAAATGCTTATGGAGTTAAAATGCACGTATGTGCATGAAAAAAACACTTTTGCAACTGATCATACCGCCTTGGCTGCCGTTTTGACTTTTTTTGAACCCATCCTGCAGGTTCCCCCCCCCTCCCCACGTCCCAATCAGACACCTCCCGCTACCCCCCGCCCGCAAGACTTACTGCACTTTGGTGGCAAAAGGCTCCAGTCCCGCATAGCGCAGGGTGGGCGACAGGACGACGTGGTGGGCTTCCTCGCGCCCCTGGACGCTGTTCTCCTCCGCCTCCAGATAGACCCCGTTGGGGCCGCTGCCGGTGCCCCCTCCCTGCGGGTCAGCCTTCACCGGACGGCAGCTCAGAATCGATGTGCTCCCTGTGGGGGAAGCGGGGTTGACCCACGTTAGGTGCAGAGGGGGGGGGGAGTGTGTGGGGGGACAGAGCCAGTCCCCAAAGAGAGTAAACTCTCTTGCTCTTTTGAGGGTGAGGGTGCCCCCCCAGCACCTCATGGAGCCCCCCCCCCAATCTTCTAGCTCAACCCTCCGCCCTCCTCTTTTGGGGACTCTTAATACTAGATGTAATTTTAGAAAAGGGTTCCCTCCCTTTTCTTGACCGTCCCTGCAGCTTTCTCCCCAAGAGAAAGGCAGTACTAGAACGCCCAGCCTCCTAGTTTTCAGAAGGGTTTGCCACTGCGTCTTTTTGAGGGCTGCGGGAGATCGGCTGGCTCGAGATCACCCGGCTGGCTTCATGCCAAAGGCAATACTAGAACTCCCAGCCTCCCGGTTCCTAGACTGGTCCCTTCACTTACCAGGCACAAGTTCCCCTTGATCCAACATGCGGCGCACGGCTCCGATGCTCGTCCCATGGTAGGCCATGTGCCACTTCTTGGAGGTGCTGGCCACATCCAGACGCGGGTTTATTCTACAAGAAATGGGTGGGTGGGAGGAAGTCTGGAGGGTCCAGGAATCAGGTGGAAGGAAACCCCCTCCCCGAACGAGGCCTGCAACAGCCTCATCTTCACACAGGTAGTCCTCGACTTATGACCACTACAAAATTTCCATCACTAAGCGAGACAGTTGTTCAGTTCCGTCCCATTTTACAACATGTCTCGCCTTGGCCGTTACACAAATCCCGGCAAGTGATCGGCCTCCTGGGACTCCTGCTAAGCCGAGTCCATTCGCTCCACTTTACGACCGTTCTTGCCACTGTGGTTAAGCGAATCACTGTGGTTGCTAAATGGGTTGCACGGTCGTTAAGCGAACTTGGCTACCACGCTGCTTGTCAGAAGGTCACAAAAGGGGAACCGCGGGACAGGGCGACCGTCGCAAATGTGACTCGGCTGTCAAGCATCCAAACGTAAACCACGTGACCACGGGGGAAGGATGGTCGTTAAGTGTGAAAAAGGGTCCCGAGTCACTTTCTGCATGGCTGGGGTAATGCCAGGCCTGCGGCCATCTTTTCTTTTGGACGTTAAGCCAGCCACACTGTCTATTATTCTACTGTGCATTTTCTATGGTGGGAAAATGGGATTGTACGGAGTTAGACGATAGGTAGCCATAACAACATTCTTTCTAGAAAGGCAAGGTCATCTTTTATTCTTTCTACCTCTGCAACTGACTGGAACTGGATGGGGGGATTCTGTCTTTGTAGCAGTGGGAGATTGGACCATGGGATGGACTTGTGGGTGGGTGGGGGGCAAGATCTTGAACTTCCAACTGGGTGGGGGAAACCGGGAAGCTCCCAGATTCGGGTTTCCCCAGATGTGCCAACGTGGCTCTCTTCATCAATGGCAACTTTGAGGAATCCTCTGCCTCGGACTCTTGATTTAATTTTTGGACGCTCTTTGGAACTCGGAACGGTCACTAAATGAAGTCGAGGACCGCCTCCAGCGCCCAAAGGTACCTGAGGCTGAAGCGGCACCACCCGAAAGGCAAGGCGTAGTCCCGGGGGGGCTCCCCCCGCTTGTAGTAGGCCTCGTCCCCTCGCAGCTTGTGGCACGACTCGCAGTAGCAAAGGCTCCGCTTGGGGTCTTCCGTGAAGTAGGCATCTGGGGAGGGGGAGATTTTGGGGTGGGGGTGGGGGGGAAACAGAAGGACACGGTTAGGAAGGCCGCCCGGAGGCCCTGCGCAGGGAAACGGGGGTCCCGGCTGTCAGAGCTGAATTCATTGGGATTTGTTCGCGTGGGATCTGGGGGGGTCTTTTTCCCATTCCATTCTATGACTTCAAATGAAGATTATTTTAGCAGGTTACAAAGATAGAAAGCCCCATTTTGGAATCATGAAAAACACACAAAAAAACCCTTTTTTATCTCTCTCTCTCTTTCTCTCTCCCTCCCTCCTTCCCTCCCTCCATATATATATATATATATATCTATTAGATTTTTTACAACCCCTGGTAAGCCCCAATTATGGGAGGAAGCTAATTGCTTCCATCATCTGTCTATCGGCTCGTCACAAGAGTCCATCACGACAGAAACCCAAGATTTTTACTGTTGCCTATATTTGTGTTTTTTTTTTATTTGTGCTGATTTATCAGCACAAATTTTATTTATTTTATTTATCAGCACAAATAAAATATATATATATATATATATATAT